TCCAAATCAGAGGCTTCAAATGTTGGAAGTCCCATTTCCCCCACCGCCACGAGGAAGTTTCTCACGTTTTCGAAGTACTGGAATGCAGAAAGTGCAGCTCCATCTGGAATAACAACAGAATCGTATGGACCTTCAACTACCTGACAAGAAGTTATAGGTGTCATCTCTCTATGTTTGTGTATAACAAAATACAAGAAGAACAAGGAGAAGAAACTAAATAATACCTTCTGCACTGCTCCAGGTTGAACCTTGTTAAGGACATTACAAAGGACAATACCACTTCGCAGTCCGAGCCTGAATTCTTCCTCAGAAGGCTCAGCTGGCAAATCTTTACCCCCAACAACTCCAACCATCTTCCTGAGCCACCCGGCTGCTTCATATCTTCTTAAGGCTGCAAATCCACGATAGCATTGATCAGAAGGTTATTAGACTAAGAAATTCTCCAAGAAATATGAAGTTATTTTCCAATTTCCTTAAAATAATAAAGACTCATATTAGCAAACGATGAAAAGAATTTCTAATGCACGATCACACAATAAATGAATAGATACACAGATGATCTTGACTCAGGTTTGAAAATTCGGCATAAGCATACCTCAGATTCAAAAAACTTGCATTGACATTACTATTCCAACCACAGGATTTCTGAAACTCAATTCATTTAATTGTCTCCCCAATATTTGACTCTTAAATGAAACAGAAAGTTGTCCAATTCTATACTTCAAACCTAGAAAAAGCATATTAAATCAAAACCCTTAGCAGAAAATTGGAGGAGTACTTCAAGTGAAACATCCTCCGTCCATAAATGAACCAGAAACCAATTTGATTATCAGAAACATTCTATCCGCACAAAGAAGAAGACTAAAAAAAGTAATAATAAAAGATTGATCATACAGGCTTCGTCAGCTTTCCTAGATTGAAATCGAACATCACTCGATCGAGTCCCGTGCTGCTGAAGAACATCCTCAACAACAGACGCTACGGAGAACGGCAATGGCTGCTCTGTTTCCATCTCGTCGAAAACAACTCTCACAAGAACCAACAGATGAAAACAACTCAAACTCCGCACTCAGATTACAATACAAATCTTTCCCACTAATCCTCAGGTCCTAAAACTTTCCAAGAACCGAACCAAATTCTTCTTTCTGTACGACAAATTTCCCGAGAGACAGATAAGAAGAATGGTGTTTTCCCGAACTGGGTGTTTTCTCTTTTCTTCTTCTTCTTCTTCTCGATTATGAGATTTCAATCAAGAAGGAGAAATGGGATACAAGAGATAGATATAGAGAGAGAGGAAAACGAGCTTCACGCCCAAAAAAACCAAAAAAGAATTCTCTGTAACTTTCTATCGTTTCCTCTCTCACTATTTTTTCTGTCTTTTGAGTTTTCTCGCTAATAAGGAAGATAAGAGCAATACACCGAACCTGGCTCCGAGCCTCCCGCGCTCGGTACCTTTACGGTTTATATTTTCAGGGCTGAGAAAATACTGGCCTAATTTTAACTTCTTTGAAAAGAAAAATTAAATTATATTTGTATATATATATATATATATATATATATATATGACAGTCATATAATCAATATATATAATTATAGCAATATCCAAATTTATCAGAAATCAATAATTTGAAATAAAATTTTTTAAAAAACTAAATATAATTGAAATTTTGAATAAAAAAATATTAATTTAAATAATATATTATTGATAATTAAAAATAAAAATTAATTTTAATATTAATATAAATAAAACTGATTTAATTATACATTATTAAAATAAACAGAGCCAGAGTATATTTAAACGGATCATAAGATAATTGGTAACGCCGTTAGTTAATACCGTTAATTTAAACGCACAAAATAACAGGTTATAATAATAACAGACTATGATTGCCACCACTATTCTATATAAACAAATCAAACTTTCATCGTAAACATGTGAACACCTCTCTCTTGTTTTTAATTATATATATATATATATATATATATATTTTTTTTTTCTAATATAATTTTATAATTACCAATTAATTTATTAAAAACAAATTTTAAATCCCACGTGGACCGGAATATATATATATATATTACAAATATATACGTAAATGTATATTGTATATATGTATGCATATACCCACACAAAGGATACCAATTTTTAATTCTTTATTTATAATAATATGAAAATGATAAAGTCAATAAAATTATAAAAAAAAATAATTTTTTACATCATAAATAAAATAGTAAATATAAAAATTATAAATAAAAATTATTTGTAAAAATAATAGTCTTTTTATTTTTATTTTATTTTTCAAAATGGGCAAATATGAAATGAGCGAAGTGAAATATTTGGTGGGTGCATTTACTTATTTACCCCCAAGAGAAAAGGTTATTGCTAAGGCAAAAGATGTAAATTCCTGAAAAGGGTGGGGACTATATAGTCTTTACACTACTTCCGTTTGTTTCCCTCCAACGTTTAAAAAATATTCGAAGAGTTGGTTCGGATCCGAACCTAACAGCTTCGGTCAAGGAAAGGAACTCGCGTAACAGAAACTGAAAATCTAAAACCAGGGGGTCCACAAAGAGATGTTCGAAGTGGGTCCCAAGAACACGAGCGCCGGCAAGCGTTGGTTTGCCGGCCCAATCACAGGCCTCGTAGAAAGTGGGCTCCACCTGGCCCACCTAGAGACCTGCCGAAACATGTTTTGATAAGCAGACACGGGGCAAGCTGACGTAATTTATTATTATAATCAATAATTAAATATGATTTCCCCTTTATTTTCCTAAAATAAAATTATGATTTAAACATATTTTTGTGTATAATTATTATTAAAAAATTAGAACTAACCTTAAGGTAGAAGCAACAAGACAAGATGTTTGCTTTTCTACCCCCAGAGAACAATTCTTAATTGTTGTTCTCGACTGTCTCTGTTTTCTCCCAGATACTATTAGAATTTCGGGTAATTTTCACACCTCAATACTTAAATCTGTTTATACCTTAACTCGACGCGAGAGAGATAATGACAATATATATATATATATATATACATTATTAATTTTAAGAAAATATGAATGGAGTGATTAAGCAAATTTGTTATTAAAAATAAAAAAAAATTTAAAAAATATAAACATAATGCTGATTTTATATATTATTAAAATAATTTTAAAAATAATTTTAATTTCTTATTTTTAAATTTATCACTTTGGAATTTCCAATAAATACAATTAATCACATGTTGAATTTAAATATTTGGCACTGAAATCTACAAACTAAGACCATACTCAATGAGTCTTCACCCCATGTTTCTGGTATGGAGCAATACATGGACCCATTTCTTTCCTTTTGACATAGTTGTCTGTAAAATGGTATTATCTCTATAATCCACTCGTGTTCATATCCTAATAATTATACATATGATATTGTTTTTATGATTATGTAAATGTAAATTTAACCATATGATAGTTTCGTAGTGAAAATTTTTTAATTTTATTTTTTGAAGATCACGTGTTCAGGTGTAAAATTTGCTATTTTGTTAGTGTATTACAGATTGATGTTAATTAGCTCGAAATGTTTGATTCGGTAGAATTAATAATTTACCTCATATTTAAATATAAAATTTGCTATTTTGTTAGTGTATTACAGACTTGTGGTAATCAGATCGGAATGTTTGATTCAGTAGAATTGGTAATTTACCTCATAGTTAAGATCACGTGTTCAAATATAAAATCTACTATTTTGTTAGTTTATTACAGACTGGTGGTGATCAGCTCGTAATGTTTGATTCGATATAATGAATAATTTACCTAATCTTTAATATCACGTGTTTAAATATAAAATTTGCTATTTTGTTAGTGTATTATAGACTGGTGGTGATCAACTCGAAATGTTTGATTCAGCAGAATTGATAAGTTACTTTATCTTTAAGATCACGTGTTCAAATATAAAATTTGCTATTTTGTTAGTTTATTACAGACTGATGGTGATCAGTTCGTAATATTTGATTCGATATAATGAATAATTTACCTAATCTTTAATATCAAGTGTTTAAATATAAAATTTGCTATTTTGTTAGTATATTATAGACTGGTGGTGATCAGCTCGTAATGTTTGATTCAGTAGAATAAATAATTTACCTGATTTTTAATATCACGTGTTCAAATATAAAATTTACTATTTTGTTAGTGTATTATAAACTGGTGGTGATCAGCTCGTAATATTTGATTCAGTAAAATTATTAATTTATCTCATTACTGTACTGATGTGAAGACATTAATATTTATCAAATATATTTCGTTTTTTGAAAAAAAAAAAAACTGGGAAAGACTAATTTTCTTTAAATTAATGACAACAAGTTAAAAACTTAATCTAACATTCTTAATTAAAAACTCGATGTAATATATATATATATATATATATATAAAGACTGAATAAGAGAAATACATATAAATCTAAATTAACAATTGTTGGGAGAGATTAAACATATATAATAAGAAATAATCAAAGTATTATCTGGATGTTGCACTGGTTTTATAAGTGATGGACCAGCTGAGTTCAGAAAAATTAGGAGAAGAAATGATTTGATCCGCATGGGATTTATCAACATAATAATGAGTTGATGTACATGCAAAAAGTAGAAACCTCACCAGCATTATAAGTACATATACATATGCATATACATGCACATATATTATATGTTGTTTGTCTAATAGAATTGCTCCCCAACTTTGGAATATTATTGCCCAAAAAATCTTTTAACTTGGCTACTCATGTAAGCGGTGATCAACACGTTTAAATATTACACATTTTAAGTCCGTAGAAATTTAACGAGAATAAAAAATTATCTTTAATATATATATATATCCGAAGTTGGTAAGTACTATTTTTTTTTTCTCGCTTTTATATTTTTGTAATCTTCTTTATCATCATCATATTTCTTTGGTAAGTAATAATTAATTAAGTAATAATTAATCCAATTTGTTTAAATATTGTTTCTTAAAGTGGGAGCTTAAACAAATTAATGAATCTAATCAATGTTCTTTCAAATTTAACACTTGGCCTCCCCCCCTCCAAAAACCCTAATAAATTAAACATAGATGTAAATATATGCTAAAACTTTTATTCATACCAAATGACTTGTCAAATAAAGATAACTAGACAATGTTCCTCTTTAAGGGAGAATTAGGTTATATTCTAAGGAGTTGTAAACACCATATATACCTTTATTGCATACACATATACATATATATATATATAGATATATCTTTCATTAGTTCTTCATTATAAATTATTGTGAAGAATTGTACAAGATGGTCCCAAAAATTTAGGGTATGATGGGTTTGTTTGAACAATTTTTTGGGAACTAAGCATATGGATGTCATCAACACTACATGTCATTGAATTGGACAACTCAACTCTCTTTTCATCAATATGCCTTTGTGGGTATAAGAAAATTATAATAATAATAAGAATAATAAAGGGTTTTGTGATGAGGTG